TACCTCTAAGGATACTATCAATTTAAATTTTTTTAAAAATGAAAATGATCCTTTGTGATAAGTTTATAAGAATCAAACAAAAAAGTAAAACATCCATAACACCCCAAAAGTTTTTTAATAAAAAGGTTTAGTAAAAGTCCCGAACTGCAAGAAAAATTAAAAAAAATAAAAAGTTGAAGTTATTTTTCTAAAGATGAGTTAAATAATATTTTTTATTATTAGTATCAAATTATGCTGTAACATAACGGGCTTTCCTTGTAAGATTGCCTGCTTTAAGATGTTCGGAATGTTCTTCGTAGGGATCCGGCGTAAGCAGCTGGTCAGCCCAAAGATCGGGAGTCAAGTAACTATAAGTGTTGCAAAGAGCATCATAAACGGCCTTCGCGAAGTTTCCAAGTGTGCGAGTCTGCCCGCAAGCAGAAGTAAAGCAATCAGCAACTCCAGCGAACTGTAACAATTTCTTTGCGTAGCCGGCCGCTACGAGGCCAGTACCGCGTGGTGCTGGAATGAGTCGCACACGAACAGATCCGCACTTACCCGTAACTTTACACGGAATAGTATGGGGAACACCGAAATTATTTCCCCAGTAACCTCGTCTCACGGGAACAACAGCTAACTTTGCTAAAATTATTGCACCGCGAATGGCCGTAGCAACTTCTTTGGAGCACTTCACGCCTTATGAGTAAAAAAAAATTAAAAAATATATGTTCATACTACGTTTTAAATAAATAAAACCTAAACCAATGTGTCCATTATGATCGCCAACAACAACGAAGGCCTTGAAACGAGTACGCTGGCCTGCGCAGGTTTGCTTTTGGACAGGCATGATTTTAAGAACCTCATCTTTTAACTTGTCAACGGCTTCTTCATCTCTGACGTTGGGCCCTGCGGGTCTAATGAATTCTTCTACTATTTGGTGCTCTTTAATTGGAAGCGAGTAAAGATAGATATCCTATAAAAAATATAAGTGACATTATAATTAAAATAATTTATTCTTACCTCAAGTGATTTTATTTTTTGCTCCTTAACTAATCTTCCAAGTTTAGTAACGGGTTGCCAAGTGTCCCTTGCATCTTTTTCGCTACGTCGTGGGCGTCTTCGGCCTCTCCCCATCCCAAAACCACCTCGTTTTTCTCCGAAACTCCCCCCAGCTCCAGTGTGAGTGCCAGAATCAGTCATCTTGTAATTTACTTTTGATAATAACGTTAATCATACTACTGCAATATATAAAGTAAAGACTCACCCAAAGCAAGCGGAAAGATATAGAGAAGAGAGGGAGGAAGTTAGGCAATGTGCTCTATGAAAGCTTTCCCCGTGCACGTGCCGTTATAAGGCCGCGCCCAGACAGCTAAAACTGCGTTAAAAATCTATTCAAACGCAATTTTAAAAATTTTTGTTATGTACGGTTTTTATTCTTATTTTAACTTCAAAATATGAACGTTTAAAACTTGAGTCAAGGCTTTTTTGATATATTTTACCTCTTTGAAAAATAGTTGAAGGATACGTTGCTTGCAAAGGATTTATCATTTAAAAAATCCTTTATTTAGTTAAAAGAAAAAAAATTATCAAACTTTGTGCTGACCCCGAGCGTAATTTATTGTATCTGATATTTCTTTTCTTTGTTCACTAATGGAGACTGTTGTAATATTTTAAGGAAATATTTAATTTTGTATATATTATGTCATTCTTACTTAGATATATATTTTATATTGTTTATTTCAATTATGCTACAGCTGTGAAAAGGTAAGAAAAAAACAAGCCAACAATTAATGTCATAGCGGATATATATATTTATTAATTTATAACACTGGCAAGCTACATTTTAGGTCTCCCATAATGTTGTGATTTTTGAAAAGTTTTGGCATATATCTTTTTGATATCTGAAAATCGTTTTCATAAGCAAAACTATACTGAGAAAATGATGAAAAAAAAAAAAGAAAACTTACTTTTTCGGTTAATATGGGGTGTGGATTCTCAGCTTTCTTAATTACGTGAAATATATTTGCTTGGTTTAACTTAAACTTTTCTTTAACTACAGAGCTCGAGTTATCTCGCCTTCGTTAAGTTAAAAAATTTTATACGTTTGTAAAGCCATATAGACGACAAGGGCAACTTGAAATTATAGTACTATAAGGGTACTTACAAGTAGGATAAATTTTGTATGAAGTGACACCTTATTAAACTAATTTCGATTTATATAAAATGCTGTATTAACTTTATTATATCAGTAATTTTAAAAGCATAAAATAAATAATTGCTCTTTTCGATATAGTTTTTGGGACATTTTTTAATTTCTATGTTGTGTTCAACTATGCGAAAAGTTTGTTACTTCAGTAAAATGAAATTTAGGACGCCGTATTGTTTTGCTTGTAGTATGCTTCTTTTTATTGCCAGGTTAATAGACTGATAGGTTTCTAGTCCCTTATATCACGAGAAGGTGAAATTTATAAAATTATAGTGATGGTGACTATTTTTTCACTTGCAGGAATAAATATTAGCAGCTCAAACGCTTTAGACCATTTTATCCCTACTTTTTTTTTCTTGTTGGAGTTAAACGCAATTATATATCTGCTGTATTGAACCTTCGCATACATATATATAGAGTGTACGTAAATCGCTTTTATTCCAAAACCTTCCTTACAAGGATTAGATAAATTTACTTGGTTTCAAGCAAACTTCATTACTTTCCTTTAAAAATAATAAAATTTTAATATTTCTAAGCTATCAATATATGACTACAGCAGTGGAGGACACTTTAACTAATTAATTTTATAATCCTAAAAATGCTTTGCAGTATTATATGAGCCCTTGCATTAAACTTTTAAGTTGAAATACTATAACTTTATCGCAAAACATAAAGTTTAGTGATATTATTTCATTAAGTCGAAATAATAATGGCATAATGTTAGCTCGTGAATCGGAGGGATTTAGGGCTTTAGATTTATATTATATAATATGGCAATTTAAATTATTAAAACTTCTCCAGTTTGTATTTAATAACTAATAATTTTTTAAATAGCTGTATTGTCTGCTCTGAGCTCGAGCTAAGTGTAATAATTTAGACAAATCTAATACATTTAAGTGCACCTTAATTATGCCATTTTTTAAAAGTTTATCGTTTAGGTTTTTATCAATTTCAAAGCTTCTAACTGTAACCTAATATATTTTCGGCATATATTTTCCTAGTCGGAGCGTTTAACCCTATCTAGAAATTTATATACATATGACTCTTGTTCTAACTACAAACTTTTTAATCAAGGCAAAAAAAAAAATTACACCTTTAGCAAAGCACAAACATTGTTTATTATAATTATCTTCATAAATATACAGTCTTAAGTTATTAACCGGTATGAATGTATTATTTATTACTTATTTAAAGGTGCCTTGTATTATTTTTAAACTAAATTTCTTCTAACTACTAACTATACTTAGGTATAAAGCCTTAAAGAGTAATGACTTCCAATTTAGTGCAATAAAAAGAACTTTTATGTAGCTAAGTCTTATTAGGAGCTCCCTTGAAAAATTATATTTTATGAAAACCAAAACTTAAAGTTGTATAATTTTTCCTGATAAAAATAACACTTAAAAAATAAGTATACCCTTTCCCTCTCAAAAAAAATAAAATACCAAATGTTGCATTTCTATAAGTCGATCAGCACCTTCTTTAAACTAAACTTGAATGCTTTTGACATTAATAAAAAAAATTTGTAGGGCATATATGCTACACTTTTGTGAAGATCTTAATTAGATTAATGTATCGCTCCGCAATACTTCTGTCAAACTTTTATTATCTAAGATTAAAAAGTAGAACATCGTTGTGCAAAAAAAGAATATTTTATTAGTACGTTAGTTTATTTCGCAAGTGTAAAAGATAACCTTTATATTGATTGGGGAATCTTCAAAAAAATCTAAACATTCATAATTTTAAATAACTCGTTATTTTATTTTTCTTTATATATATTTTTAATAATAAAAAAAAGCATCCTAATCTTTATTTTTTAATTTTATTAAGTTCAATAACAATCTTATTTTACACAAAACAAAAACTTTTAGTTTATGATTTTTAAATAAAATATCAGATTTTTACTTTCTTTTTTTTTAAAAGAATTTAACTATTGAATCCTTTATTAAAGAGTTTAAAAGATTGTACAACAATCTAGTTTTGTACAAATCCAACTAAATTTCTAAATCTTAATACTCTTCAAGTTATTAAATTATCTTTTTCTTTTGATTCTGAAGAGCCTTCAACTTTTATTAAATCCATTTTGAATTCTTCCTCTAAGTCGCTTCCCTCTGCAAATTCTGAATCTTCTTCTTCCTCTTCTGCTACAATAACCCTTTCATTTTTCAAGGCAGTAATTATGACTAAATAAAATCAGAAAAAATTAATTTCAAAACGTTAATTTTTTATATTACAAAATAAATTTATTCTGGAGAATGCAAAGAAAAAAAAGTAAATTTTTTATATATGAAAGTTAATAAAATGTGCATAGCGCAAATTATAAAAAAGAAATTTAATAGTTTCCTAACTAAATTTTTTTAAAAAGTAATCAGATATATTAAAAAGCCAATAAAATAACTTACAAATTAACAAAAAAACCCCGCAAATAACTAAGTGTTCTTAACTTTTCAAGTTACAATAAGTTCAAATATAAAAGGAAATACTATTTTTATTAAACTTTTAAAAAAAAAAAATTATATTTAAAAATAATATTTCAAAAAAACTTTTAAACTAAACAATACATAATAGTAACAAGATTTAGTTTAGTATTATAAAAGTATAGAAGCAATAAAGTCAAACTTTTGCAATTGAAAGTACACCGTATTGATATAATTATAAGAGCACTGATGCAATTTAGTGCAGCCAATAAAACTTAACTTCAAAAGACAAAATCAGTAAAGTTGACCAATAAAATGAAATATAAATAAATATAAAAGTTTAAATGCCAAGCTACCAACAAGTTAAAGGAAAGTAGTGAGCTTAATTTATAATCATAATAATAGAAATAATATGTAACGTGTTTTTAATAAATTTATAGTAGAAAAATAAAAAAACATGTAAAAAATATGAGTTACGGTTTTTTATCTCTTGCACTTCAGCTAATAAACTTTCATCACCGAAGCCCACTTCTCCTTCAAAGGCAAACGCCGAAGCCTTGAGGTCTACTTCCATACCCTCGGCAGCCTCTAGCAACGTGCGCTGCTGGAAATCGACCAATTGAACAGAGGCCCCACGGGTAATGAGGTATTTCACATATAAATAATCGCTCTGCCAATAAAAAGTTAGTAAAGCTCTTATATTGCAGCGTATATACTTTTTAATAATTAAAATAATAGTGAAAAAAAAATAACATTTAATAAAAAAACGAAAAAATAAGGAAATACATAATTTTTTATTAAAAAAAAATTATATTTAGTTTAAGTTTTTATAGGGATGCACAAAAATAGGTTAAAAAATTTTTGTTATATGAAAGTATTTCTTTTATTTTTTATATTTTTTATTCAAAATATAATTTTATTAAAAAATAAACTAAATTAATAGGTTTTATACAATTATAAATTAAAAATACAAGTCTCTTATTATGCATATAGAAATAGTTATTAAGTTATTATAAGGTTTAAGAAAATGTTTAGCTAATATTTTTATATAAACAAGTCTTTAATTTTTTAGTATACTATTATGATAGAATAAATACTTTATAATATAAATATAATATTAGAAAACTCAAGCGAATATTTAATTATTAACAGATAACAGATTACAAAATTTTTTATTTTAGAACTTCATTAAAAAAAAAGAAAAAACGTCAAAAAATATTGTAAATAAGAAAACTCAAGCAAATATAAAAAATTAATTTTTTCATTATAACTCGTAGAATAATAACTATTGTTATTATCTTTATATAATAAATAAAAAATGGCCAAAACGGCTGCATATACATAAATTTAACAATACCAAACTATATATCATTTGGCATTTAATTATAAAAAAATTGCTAAAAGATAAGAGCTGTATTTATAATACTAAACAACGCCCATTTAAGAAACTATATGAAAAATAGCAACAAATAGTTGTTATCTGCCTCCAAAAACAAAATAAAATCTGTTTGATAAAATCAGCGCAATAGATTAAATTGCACCAGTTAAATTTATTAGAATTTTTGTTTGTAGGGAAGTTGTAGGCGTAACCACCCGACCAGAAAATGCGAGTCGACACCGGCGGGAATAGAATTCGCGGCCTTGAGAACGCGCGACAATGCTCTAACCACTGAGCTACGGTGACAACTCACAACTTTGGTCGATAAATTACTTATACAACTTTTGCTAAAATTTATACGGCAGAAAAAATAGAAAAAAAACCGCAAAGTGATGTTTACCGCCAAAACTGCTATATATAAAGGCGTATGGCCTTCGTCGTCGACAGCTTCCAAGGAAGCCCCGTGGTCGAGCATATAGCCAATAGTATCGACCGAAACTAAAAATAATAAGATACTGTTATTATTCATATATTTTTATACGATTTAAAACGAATTATTAATAAAAATATAATGAAATTCCTTATTTTAAAAAAGAATTTCAAGCGAAAAAACTTATTTAATGCATTTTTTCCAAAATTTTTAAAACAAATTTTAATAATTGTCCCCTTTAATCGGTTATGCACTAAAATACTCTGAAACGATTCCCTAAAAAACTGCAAAAAATAAAAAATAAAGAGCTTCTAAGTTCAGTTCATTTCTTATTTAAGCAAATTTAAAAATGTTGTGTACTTTGTAAAAAAAAAAGTTATAAAGTTTTTATAATAATCCAATACTATTTCAAAACTTTTATATTACATTTATAAAGTTATTTATTTTGTAATCTATAATAAAATAGGATATAAAAAACTTTATAACTCTATAGAACTTATCATTTTTAGTATACAGATAAAGAGACTTTTTATACCTAAATATCGCTAAAAGTTTACTCGATATTTATCCTTAACAAAATTTTGTTTTTATCATATAAACTAAAAAATTTATTGTTGTTGTTCTTATGACGAGGAAAAACTTTAAAATTTATTATTACAAACAAAAACTCTACTTTTAAGAATTATTATTATTATTGTATAACAAAAAAAATACTTACGCCTTCGCGAAGCCATAGCCACGTGAAGTGCTGTTTGTTTAAAAGTATCTACACAATTAATATCAACCCCAGCATCGACCACTCGTTTTATGGTTAAGTGGGGGTCCATATCGTCCAGTGGAACGTATAACTCTCGAACTTTAGTGAGAAAAAAATAATAATTCAATAAAATTATATTAAAGCAAATATAAAAATAGTGAATAAAAAAAATTCTCAAACATTATAATATATTTTAAATATAAAAAAAAGTAAAAATTAATTGGAGAATGTAAATGTAGTATTAACTATTATAACTGTAATAATAACAATAAATAAAAAATTAAAAGTAAAATAAAAAACGAGGCGTACATAGACTTTAAAACATGATGTAGAAATAAAAACATTAAAAAAAAAAACCAAAAACAAAAATACTCAAAACTTAATATATTAAAGATTTTTTATTGATATAAAAAGTCATTATAAAAACTTCTAAAGTAAAAATTTTAAAAAAAAATCGTAAAAAATTTAGTGAATTTTTGAAAATTAAATAAAAATTATATTATTTAATTAGAAAAATTTATAATAAATTTAGTAGTAACATTGGGTATTCATTAGAAAAGATGTATTTTACTATTATATAGTATATATAACTATTAATATTCATAATGAAAAAAATTGTTAATTAGTAGAATTGTAAAATTTTATAATCTATTTTTTGTAATAAATAAAATATTTAAAAATATGTATTATATAACTTTCTTATAAAATAAAAGTAAAAATATATAAAATATTAAACATGTCGTGATAAAATTCAATACATTTATATCTTTCTAAGTGAATAATAAAAAATTTGTAATATATAAAATTATTTAAAAAAATATTTAGCACATTTCAAAATTGATGCGAATAAATTTAATTATATTCAATATATAGGTTCTCGTAAAAATAATTAAAGCAATTAAAAAAAACTATTTAGTTATTTAAAAATTTAAAAATTTATAAAAATAATTCGTAATAAATATAGAAAAAAGTAAAAAAATAATATAAAAATCGTGAGCTAATAAAAAAACGTGTAAAATTAAACTTGATTATAAAAATTTAACTTTAGAAATTTCTTTTTATTAAAAAATTAAGCAAATCATAAAATAAAAATAAGAATCCCACCTCACTGAAATTCAGGTCAAAAAAATTCATTATTATTTTCAATTATTTTTACATTAATTCAAACTCAAAAATTATAATGATAAGAAATTATTCATTTATAATTTTAGGAAAATATAAACTTCTTCACTATTTCGACTTTATAAGAGGTAAATTCGTTTCATTATATCCTTTTAATATTTTATATAATTTGAATTTTAACCAATGAAAATAACCCAGTAACCTTAAATTTTTAATGACGTGTAAAGTTTTATCATATTTCGCTTCATTTTTTTATATTACCAGTTATTTTACTTTAAATCACAATATTTTTTTTAGCCATACATAATTCATATATAATTGAGCACCAATAGTTTTTATGTTTACATATTTTCATTATACTTTTAGAACTTCTTTTAAAATATAATTATTATATTCAATAAATGTTTCCATTTTTAAAGGTTCTTAAATTTTATTATATTCTCTCAAGTGCAATACATTCTATGAATACTGTTAGAAGTACATTCATTATATTATTGATCGTCTTTTTAAAAAAATTATCTTAATATTTTATAATATAATAAAAATTATTTTCATTAGACATCAATAAAAAAAAGTAATAAAATATTCATCAAGAAATACAATAAAATTAATATTATAAAATTAATAAAAGAAAACTTTAACGAATTTTAAGTTAATATTTTGTATTTTTTTATTGATGAAAATATATTCATTAAAATTTATTATAATATATGTACAATAAAGTAATGAGAAAATAGCCAAAAGCTATTTAACTTTCATTATGTTTCTAGTATTAAAAATAAAGTTTTTTTGTTTTTTTTTCTTCGTTTTAAAATATAAATAATGAATGAATTATTGTAAGAAAAAAAGTTTTTTTTTAATAATAAGAGGTTGACTTTTTTTATATTATTCTTTTTATATAAAAAAGTAATTGGTTATAAAAAAATCAATTTTTGTAAGGAACCCCAATATAAAGTTATTATATTTTCATTAAATATGCGTCTGCCCTTCTATAATTTTTAATGAAAATAGTAGTTTCTGCGGTTGTTATTAAATAAATTTTCTTTTTAATAATCATACAAAAGAATATTAAAATCTCTAAATATAGCTATCATAATTTTTCTGTTTTTTTCCGTGCTAAAGTTGTACGAGAATATTTTTCACTAAATATTTAAAATATATATTTTTTAAAAAAAATTTCTAAAACGTGTTCATAAAGTTTTCACTATTTTGCTAAACAACTTTTTTTAATAACATATTTTTACTCAACAATACGCACATGTCTTATGCAAACTTTTTATTAGGTCCGCTAAAATTTGTTAACGCAGTACAGCACTTGAACGCGTTCGTAATAAGCGAAACACCACGTGGACAGCTTTTAAGTAAAATAGCGACACTTTTAAATAATAAGTGACACCCCAAAAAATGTAATGAACAAGTATTAAGTTAAAGTAGACAACAGGAAATAATGATACAAATTAGCGAAATGTTATCATAAAATTTAAAGAAATATAAATATAATGGAATGAAAAAAAAACTTCGTTAAAGCCGAAGGAAAATGTTTATAAATAAAAATAAAATAATTCAGTAAATTTTGTGGTCAATAAAATTATATAAAGTAAAGTAAAATAAAAAAAAGTTAAAAATAAATCAAAGTTTCTAAAAAGTAATATTTAAAAAATAAAAAAAAATATAAAAGGTATTAAAGTTTTAAAATAATCAATATCCCAAATAGTAATTAAAAAGTGTAAAACTTTTATTATATAAGCCAATCAAAAGTTTTTAAAAAAACTTAAAAAAGTAATGAATTAAAATAAATTATATTAAAGAAAAATATAAGAAATATATATAAAAAAAGTAAGCTCTAAGAATGGGGGGAAAGTTTTATATATAACAAAAATAAAAAATATAAAACTTTTAGTATAAAAAGTTTTGTAAATATAAAATATTACAATAATTATAATATTATAAAAAAGTTTTAAAAATAATACAAAGTAATAATAACTACAAAATCTCAAGAAAAAAAATGATAACAAAATGTAATAGAAAAGCACTAAAAATTTTAAAAAAATAATTAATGTTTAAAAATAATGAATCCAACAATTTAGGAATAAAAAAATAATGAAATAAAGTGAAAAGTAATAAAGCTATACTACTAACAACCATTACTATTAATAAAAATATATATAATTATTAAAAAAAAAGTTATAAATAAACGATAAACGTTGTAAATATAGAAAAAGTTTAAATAGTAAGATTTGCGAACGTTACATAAATAATGAAATAATGAGACCAGCGTGATGAAGAGAAGTTCTATTTTGGTGGTCCTTTTCATTAACAAAAGCGCCTGAAAATGATACTTGATAAAATAAAATATACATTTACATACATTAAAAAGAAATAAAAAGTTTCTAATATACAAAGTAAATCTATAAAAAAGTATTATAATATTATTTATAAATAAGTATATAAAGAATTATTAAAACAGAAACATAATTTATTTACAAGTAAAAAAAATAAATTATGAATTTTAAGTTTAACAAAATTAGCAGTAACAAAAAAACTATTTTTGGTGGGTTAAAAACGAAAAATTTAACCGTTTTCCAATAAGAAAAGAACAATATCCGCCCATCCACGCCAAGCGGCCACGTGCAGGGGAGTGATGCCCTCAGGATCTTTAATGTTAACGTCAATTTTACTAAGAAGCAACCGGCACACTTCAAGTCTTCCTGGTGGAAAATACAGTTAACGCCACCCAATAAGCTGAGAATATGTAGCAAAAACCAGTCTCGTGAGTAAAAAAGCATCAAATAAACTAAACAAAAGCATTATGATGGCTTGCTTAAATATAATTGGTTTACATTTTATTTAAATTATTTTTTTACTGGCGCGCTAACTTTCAGCCATTGTAAACCTGCAGTTAACACCTCCTCCAATCAAAATTGAATTTACAAGTTAAAAACTCACATCCGCTTATCATTATATAAATGCGGCCAATCAGTTCTATATTAATTTTCTGGCAACTTTACATTGGCCGAATTATAGTTTATTGTTATTAATATTATTCATATTATTAATTTTACTTTTAAATGGTGAAAATAAATATAAAAGTAAATCGAGAGTAAAAAAAAACTACTTTTATTATTTATTAGAAGCTAAAAGTTTAGTGCAATAATAATAAAATCCTTAGAAAAATATATAAATAATAATAAAGAAATTTAATTGAGAATTAGTAAAGAGCAGATCTATATAAAATTTGATTTTTATAATAAAACTCAAAAAATAAAAGTTATTCAAATTAAAAAAAGGCAGTCATGCATAATAAAACAAAAAAATAAAGATGTTAAACATAATTCCCAAAATTTAATAAGAAATATGTAGTAAAAAAGTTGAGAAAAATAATTTTGTTAATAAAAAAAATTATATCAAACGAAAAATAGAAAGAAACAAAAGAAAAAAGATGGAAAATATAATAATATTAAATTCTAAAAGAGTCTAAACCATCACACTTAAAAAAGTCCTGAAAAAAAAATATTAAAAATTAATATAATGACTAACTAATTAATATAATATCATAATTATAATAAAATTTTAGAAGTGCTGAATATATTATTTTCAAAATAAATATTATAGATAAAACAAATTTCAAAAATAACAATAAAATCTCTAAATAAAATTATCCATTGAAAGTTTCAAGGTGTAAATTTATGAAATAAGTGGTACAAATTAAAAAAAATTAAAAAAAATAATATAAATCCATATAAAGTTACAGTTTCACTAAAAAAGACTAAACTTTTTTAATCTATAATATGAAAAACGTGCGCTACTTTAAAAATAATTTAAACTCTAATTATTATTAGATTTCAAATATATATATAAACAGCAACCTTCATAAGCGGCTATATGTAGAATGGATCTCCCATTTTCATGCACACACGTGACGTCCTTAGTCTTTAAAAAATTCAGATCATCTAAATTAAATAATTCATATTTCGCAGGACAAAAATAGTTTTTAATCACAAATTCAAAAATTGTTAAATTAAAAAATAAATTTTATTGTATTAAATAAAATTTTATGCTAACTTAATTTACAATAAATTACTTCTTAAATAAAAACTGTCACTTACAAAATCTCACTTCAAAATTAATCCTAAACTTTGGCTCCGCATATTATAATTAATTTTTTTTTAAAAAAAGTTATGCTAACAAAATTTAAAAACGTTTACTTAATTTTCCTACAATTTTAAAATTTTCAATGGGCTTGCTATAAAGTCATTAAAAAAATAAACACAATTCCAAATTAAGATTAGAAGGAATTATGTGATTTCCTTAAGAGCATTATAAATAATATATTAATCTAAATGTTATAAATAAGAACTAATTAAAAAAAATTCAAAATAAATTAAAAGAAAAATAGGACTGAAAGAAGCGTTATGTTTGCTAAATTATAATAAAACATGTTTATATAATGTCAAGTAACCAAAAAAGTCTTGTAGCTCTACATTTAATATAAAATTTTATATAAGGTCAAAAAAAAAAAGAGTTTGCGAAAATCTCTAAATACTCATGAGAATAATAAAAGGTTTACTATTACGAACGGCTTCTGTCATATCATGTAAATCCCTTTTTTCAAAGGAAACTTTTTTTGGTCCTAAAAAAAAATAGAGTAAACAAAAACATTCTCGCAATATTCAAAAAAAATCGTATATATAAAAAAACCAATACAATTTTAATTAGAAGTTACGAAATCAATAAAGACTACTATAAAAAACAACCAGTTTTAATTACGACGCTATCTGCACTCCCCTCCATACTCACTACAGAATCTGAACTTTTACTTCCAAAAGCTTCCATCATCTTCTCTGCGATATCACGATCGTCAGTTAAATTACTAGAAAACGGGCTGCTTTCTTCCAAAACAATTGGTGTTTCGTTTTGCTCCAGCCTTTCGTCTTCCACTACTGCTTCTTGCTCTGCAGTTTCCTTAACCATTTTTCCTAACTGTTTTTCGGAGCTTATGTTAATATTTATTTTAGCGTCTCCTCGCCATTTAACGTAAAGATCAGAGTGCGTTGTTCCTTTTAAATTTTTATTATCGTGTAAATTTGTTTTAATTTCCAAATTAGAGGATCCTTGGTCAGAAATAATCTTAACATTCTCTACAACATCTCCATCAGTGGTTGACTTAGTAATAGTGATAGAAGCAAGATTCTTCTCTTGGGCTTCTTTATAATTAAAATACATATAACTATAGAAAGTCTACGTAAAAAACAGATTTTCTAAGGACTCCTTAAATATAAAAAAAGATCAATAACATGCAAAGACAAAGTAGAACCGTTAAAACTATAATCCTGTGAATCTTTGCTAACCTGAGGAGATGTCGCTGCGGTATATTTAATAAACTTAACAAAAAAGCTATTATATTAAGCAAATTACACAACTGTTTTACCTTCTCTCTGGTTAAAAAAAGAAAAGAAACTCTATAGTTAAATATTATATCACATTAGTTATTAAACTAAAAACAAAGGATCAAACCTGAAAGATGGAAAATATAAAACTCATTAGCTAAACATTAAAATAGTTTACTATAAGAATTTCCAGATAAACCTATAATATATGTTATATTTGAGTTTAAAACTAAAATATAGCTTGTGATATAGAATAAAAATATTTAAATAAAACTTATATTAATGATGTAATAAATAAATTTTAAAACAAAAATTTAAGTATAAGTTAGCACAAAAAAAAGCGATCGCAAAGGGCTTACCCTCAGGGAAAGCAGGGAAAATAATCAGTAGACACTACCGGTGAAATTTATTTTAAAAACGATTGGACATTTCTTACAAATAAGTCAAAATGGTTTTCTAAATAATTTATTGGTTCTTTTCCTCATAACAAAATATTTGCATTCTCTTCATTTTCAGGTTTTCAAGAATGAGCTATTTTTTTTAGAGGTCACATTTAAGTTTCAGAAGAATGTGTGCAGGCTTACGTTATTTTAGTAAATGTCCTAAATTTAATTAGATAAATGTAACATTTCCATATTTTAAAAGCTATATACTTTGCATCTACCGTTAAAGTTATGATAGTCATGCTTAATTTAATTAGTTACATGTAGTTAAAATAATTAAACTATCAAAAATGTCTTATATTAAAAAAGCATATTTAAATATCTAAGAACCATTAACTATAGGGAGCAGACAGGAACCTAGGCGCACTAGTTATTAAATAAATATAACAATTTATTTATATCTATTTTTTAAGTTTTTGTTACAGGACATTTTAGGCAAACTTTAATAAAATTAAATTTTACCTTGGTATTTAATGTCAAATGGAAATTATTACTGAAAAATTCTAAAAAATTAGCATTTACTTTTAAGAAGTAGTCTAGTATGTAAATGCATCCTTTCTTAATTGTTACCTTTATTACAAAGTAACATTAACTAATGACAAAAGGTCCTCGGGATAATTTAACATCCCTTTGTGTCGCAAGAAAAGTCTTTACTTAAAAGCTATATTCCTTGAAAACAGACTATATTTTTTATGGTAAAGAATCTATTAACAAACCTATAATAAAAACTAAGTGTTACTAATTAAGCATTTTACATTTTTTATTAAAATTAATATGTTATAATATCCGTAAGGTGAATAACTAAAGCATAATTACAATTGTTTATGTTGAGCTCATTTAGCAGATTAACTCAACAACCAAATATTTATACTCGTTAGAATGAGCTTACGCCTAGGGAAAGATTAAATTTTAAACGTAAACTTTCACCGTATAATAATAGGGTCTTTTTAATTTAACTAATTTTGATAATTTTTAACAATGTACTGTAAAAATTGCTTTTTCCGACTTCCTTAGCTTTGAATTACCTCCAACTACACCCCATTTAGATTTTATCATATTTATTGGGGGGCCCGGCTTTTTGTTTTTAATTAGGGGCAATTTATTGTTTAACAGTCGACTTAGTATTATACTCCTAAAAACTGAAAGTTTTCTTTTTTTAGTCGTTTTTGTTTAAAATATATCTCTTTTTTTTCTCTTTCTCTTATTAGTAGTTCTTATAGTGGTTTATGAACTTTTTTTAAGATAGAAGCTTCACTTAATGTAAGATGTGGTTATTTAATGACAGAAGAAATATTAGAACCTAATGTTGTATGGTGCTAGATTCCTTCATCACGTTGAAAGTAAAAGCCCGTTCATAAGACAACTATTCATCCACCAAGATACTGTGTTCTATTAACAGAGAAAATTCTTAATGAGGGATATTTTTATCGTTTCTTTTTTCTCGCTCTCTCCTGAAAAAGCAAAGGAACTTCTGATAATAGGAAAAACACAGATCATTAAAGTTCCAAATTTTGTGGTTTTTTTGAACTGGTATTATGATATAGTTGTAAAAATATTAATCAAGTTCTTTTTCTCAATCTTAGCTCCACTCTATTGTAAAATGAGTTTCCTCTTCTTCTTTAATAAATGTGAATATATAACTGGTACATAATTAGTAAAACCAGGTCTGTTTCTATGATCTTGAAGTGCAAAGTTTGCCTCCTACTTTTTTACTAATTTTCCAAATAATTTATAATCTATTTGCCGTTTTTTTAACGACATTTAGCTAAATTTGTGGAATTTTAGAGACACTTATAAGTGGTACGCTTAAAAAGACGCTCTAGGGCTATTTGTTCCTTTCCACAATGTCTTCATGAATGGAGTTATTACTTAATTGTACTAGCAATCCTTTTAAAAATAAGTTTCTTTTGAGTAATAACACATTATTTTGCTTCGTGTCAATTAATATTGGTTAGGTAAGTAGTTAGTAAACTAGGATATTTATATATGACTATTTAAAATTACATCACTTAACAAAATACCAAAAAAATTGTTTATTGTTTAAAGTTAGTATTAAAAAGAAACAGTATTTATAAAATAAATGTCTTATTTTCTTGAAGGTATAAATACCTTTGTCAGATTGAAGGATATATTTAACTATTAATATGATCTAAATTACTACTACATATACCCCCGTTAGCTAACGGGCTCTAGGTATTAAATTTTACTTAAAGCTGCTTTAGTTTTATAAAATAGTGATCTTTAAAAAAAATTGCTCGCTATTCTCTTCTTTTCATGTAAATTTTTGAAAATATTATGTCTTAAAATAAACTTATTAAAGTGAAGATCTCTTAAATGGCAGAGATGTTAGTGCAGTCTGTTTATTAAGGTCTCTACTTTTTTAGTTATATTTAAGCTTATACATCTATATGTAGAAAACATAACCATAAAAAACTAATGTGTTAGAAGTCAAAATGCGACATTAACACATTAACCCACGCCAAGGTTAGCAATAGTAATTTTCTTTATAATAAAATCATTAAGATAATATGAGATGATAACATTAAAAATGCAAGCTATAAAGAATAAAACGCTAACGTAAAAGGGCGGTTCTTATTGAATATTTAATCTAATCAACTCAGTTCTTTCCGTCTAACTGGACTATTCAATTTCTTATTAAAGCAAAGTAATTTTAGTTTTCAACCTTTGAGCCAAATCCAATCACCTCAAAGATATAAGTAATTTTTATAGTAAAACACAAGTTATTTGTTTTTTTCATTTTTATTAAAAGCACAAAAGGTCTTTTATGCTTGTTCTTTTATAAACTTCTTTGAACCACCGAAAAATTTTCGCATTTTTTGACACATTTATCCTTTATTCAAGTAAAACTTTTTTTAAACTAATACTCTAGTATACACTATAAAGGAGTTCTTTTAATTGAGTATACAATTTTTTTAGAAACAATAACTAAAATCTACTTTTCTATCACAAAAGAAGCTTAATTGTGCCGTTTAATTAATATTTATTCTTCTTATAAATTTGTGATTTATTAGCTTAAAAATAATTTTTTTTACTATTAAATTACTTAAAAAATGAAATTGTGCTTTTTGCTCAATGCCTTCTATTAGTTTAAGTTTATTAAAATTAGTTGTTAGTAACTATGGTTTTTCTGTCTTTAATGTATGTACATCTTCATAACCACGTTGTATATAATTTAAGATTTTATAATGTACTGTGGTCTTCCATGTATTTAAGGAGGGGAGAGACTATGAATTTTTTTAACCTTTTATACACCACATAAAATACTATTTCTGCGTAAGGAAATTACTTTGTTAGACACGTGACTGGAATATTTTAAATTTTCAGACTGCGTGACGTGGGCTTCTCATATAAAAAAAGTCTTCTTCTGACTTTTGTGTCTATGGCTTTATTACAGGAGCCTACTTTTTTTGAAATCACTTTTTCTTGTTGTCATAAGAAACTAAAAAAAAAATTGGTTTTAACTTTAAACCAGAAATTAACTCGAAATTCTAAAAAGGAAATAGGTTTATAGTTTTATAAGTTGTTTACTCAAATTTTTTCGTGAACTCTATTTATTAGATAATATTAGTAAAAGAAAGGAGTTATTGCAATCTGAGCAAAAAAAAGTTGAAGATAGGGAAAAGTTGATTCTTTCTTTACAAAATCAGTTAAACTTATTGAGTAACAAAGTGACTTATACTCTGATCTATCACCTTGCCTCTTTTACTCCTTAACTTTTATTATAAGAGGCACATCTTATTTCAACTTCTGAAAAATCGCGTGCGTAATCCGTCTTGCAACGCTGAAGATGTTAATTTTGCGTCTGCTGTTACTTATAAGCAGCTTCCGAATCAAGGTGACCTTTTTTTATGTCGTTTACTAAAGTTTCTACCATATTTAAATCATATCTTCAGGCTACCTTTTTTATTAATATCATTAGATGGTACTGTAGATGAATCTTCTTCGGCATTATCAGAAAGTTTTAAAAAGGAAGCGTTGTTGGTTAACGAGTTTCCTGGTCGCAACTTTGTGGAGTCTTCACTGATTGAGGATTTTTGCTCTTTAAATAAAAAAGACTCCAGTACTGAAGATTCAGCTACGCAGGAAAATAACAAAAACGAGGAGTTCACGCAACTTAAGCGTTCTTCTCCCTCCAACTCGTTAAAGGAGTCTTCTAAAGAAAATAAATTACGTTCTTCTCCAGACAAATTAAAAAAGGAAGTCTACTCAAGTCTAAGTTCGGACAGCCTTCTACATAAAAAAAGGTATAATTTTAGCTTTAGCAAACACGGTGGCTCCTATGAAAATAATAAAGAGACGGGCCTCCTGGAAAAGACAACTAAAAATCACTTTGATTCCCACACAGCAAAGTTACTTTTAAATGATAGCAAAGACCATTTAAATAAAAGCGTTCACAAGATGCATAAAATTGCGGGTGAGTCTACCCCAGATGGTAGCTTGGAAGGTAGTAAGGATATCAGGCGTGCACATAAGGATATTGGTAAGTGTAGCTTTCAGTTATGTGTTTTTAAAAACTTATTTCAACTTTTTGTATTTATTTATTATGTTATAATGTTTCTAGAATACCGAAGCAAGGGGCCTATCCATAATAAAGTTGAACATACTTTTAAATGCGACGGGCAAGCACGGTATGCAAGCTTTCGGAACTCTTCGGATAATGAAAAGCTTAAGATGGTTAGGGTACGGCGTAATAATCATACTCTACTTAATGGGCGCACATCATCAAAGTATTTAAT